ACCCTAAACCCTAAAACCCTAAAAATAAAAACCCTAAAAATAAAAACTAAGGTCGAACCGGTTGCAAGCAAGCCTGTCAGGCTCTGCAGGAGTTTGCCACGCTCTGGCTCGAAATGTTCAAACAGGAGCCGGGGCTGCAAGACAGGTTTAGGGTTTAGGGTTTAGGGTTTAGGGCTTAGGGTTCAGGGTTTAGGGTTTAGGGTTTAGGGTTTAGGACATCAGCGGCTTTGGCTTAGCTTCATGGGATTTCGTAAGTAAGGTTATACATCCCTTGAATAGTCTTAGAAGTTTTTTTAAGTACGAATAGTTACCTTATTTAAGACCCTAGTTACCAAGTCCCATGATCCCTGAAGTAGCGCTTCGGGCTTGACTAGGTAGGCCTTTGTTTGGGACATTTTATATTTTCCCTTATTGGGCTTAAGAGGATCTTATTCACGAAAATTTTTCAGAGGCTTTGAGGGGCCAACCTAGTGAAGGTGGGCATGAGGCATGGGGAATGAAGAAGGTAGGGTGTCTCCCGTTTCCCAGGCATAGTGAGTTGTGGCTGGAGGCTCCGTAGTCCCTACACTCATTATTTAGGGTTTAGGGTTTAGGGTTTAAATTAAAGACGAGTAGTAGAATACACCCCACAAGTTCTGTTCTAATTCTCAGCGCCTCTTTCGTAAGCTTCATTACCACCCAGAGCCCTGTCGGAGCCGGGAACAGCTAAAGGTTTTAGCTTTCTAAAATACTCACAGAGCTCTCTGAAAGCCCTTAATTACATAGTTTATCATGGGACGCAGTAACTGGGGTTGCTCTTTGGGTAACTATACTTATGGCTTATGGCTACTTGAACCTCAGTTAGGTACTACTAACCTTACTATCTCCCAGTATCCTGAAACCGTGTAATGTAGAATAGGGTTTTGGGGGCTCCTGATTATCATATGGGAGTTTCCGAAAATAGGGGACCCAAATATAGTACCCTAAATAGTAGGATCCTTCTTATAAGGGCCCCAAAAGAAACCCTGATTTTCGGAAACACCCATATAGTATAATATACCCCCAAAGCCCGATTCTAAACCCTAAACCCTAAACCCTAAACCCTAACTATTACTTCCCCTAGAGTCATCAGTCTCAGCTGCCTCAGAGCCTCTGAGCAACTGAGGTGTCGAACCCCCCCTTCAACACGATTGAATAAGGAGTCCATATAACCCTAAACCCTAAACCCTAAACCCTAAACCCGAATCCCTTCCAAAGCTTCAGTGGTGAGGCCTCGTGAAGGATTTAAAGACATCTTCGTTTCTTGATGGGGCACAAATAATTTAGGGTCTAGGGTTTAGGGTTTATTTAGAGTTTAGGGTTTAGGGTTTAGGGCCTTATGAAACCCTGCTTGGGGTTTAAGACATACTTGGAGGATCGCGGGACTTGGTAGGCCAGGTTGCAAGTACCTTTAATTTGGGCTGCAAACAATTATAGGTATAGTTACCCTCAAAATAACCCTATAGTGACTAGTCCCTAAACCCTAAACCCTAAACCCTAAACCCTAAACCCCTAAACCCTAAACCGATCACTGAAGTAAGCCATCACACCCTGAGCCCCAAACTCTAATGACTAGATTCGACCTTGAAGGCATACTCCCTACTTCAAGGGCTTTGGTTCCCCCAAACCCTAAGCTCTAAAAACTTAAACCCTAAACTCTAGACCCTCAACCCTAAACTCTAAACCCTAAACCCTAAAGCCTAAAATTCAAGAACCCCAAAAACCCTAAACCCTTAACCCTGTGAAGTTGGAACTCCAAGGACGTTTTGCCCACGAAGACCGTCAAGGTCCCTCGCTCGCAGAGCGCTGGGCAGGAGATGTAAGGCCCTAAAAACCCCTCAGCCACAAGCACTACGTAAGCCCCAAACCGAAAGCCCGAAACCCTAAGCCCTAAGCCCTAAACCCTAAACCCTAAAAACCCTAAGCCCCAAGCCCTAAGCCCTAAGCCCCAAACCATAAGCCCGAAACGCCCTGCGAAGGATCCGATTGCCGCGAGTGTTAAATTCGTTTAAAGGAGTTCGATTTGCTGAATGATTCTGCTAATTGCGGTAGGTAATATAGGGCCTGAATAACTACCTATATTATCTTGGGGTTCCTTATTATCATTATAGTACAATGGGCCCGAAAACCTTATTCTAATTATTCGAGCCTCTACATTAATCGTTTAATAAAATCATTTATGGTAGTGTCGATGGCTTCAGGACCTGCAGGAAACGGACAGCATAATCTAGGGGCTTGGATAATTACCAATGTTATGTTCCATACCGTTCCTTATGGTAGCCGTACGATAAGATACCCCCAAAACTCTAGAGCCCTACATTAAGGCGCCTATAGTACCGCTTCAATTCTCTACTAGATTGCCTTCATGGCCCATGGCAAGTTCGATTCAGCGGCGACCAAAAGTCCGTAGCTTTGGTTGTCTGAATGTTAGGTTTGCGTGCAAATACTCTTGCCTGGATGGGCTCAAACCTTAATTACGGACACCTGGCAGAACCATGTATAGTATAGATCCCTTCAACAAAAACCCTAAACCCTAAACCCTAAACCCTAAACCCTAATCCGTTGAACCCTACTTTTGGCTCTCTTAAAAGGGACCTTATTGAGAGGGTCTATATCCCCAAGGGTCCCCCTAATCCTAGCTCCCAACGACGGACATGAGCATAAGCATTTCAAAGGGATATCCCTACCTTATGGGGCTTCATTATAGGGGGTTTACATGGGATACCCCTAACCGATGTGTTGCTTACGTGCTTTTGCATTAACCCTGCACCTGTCCGAATAAGTAACATTACTACTCCCTTATCTCTTCTCCTAGACTATATTCACACCTACAAAGTGTCGTCAAGACCCATTTTCAATTGTCAAGATCCCTTAGACCCAAGACCTTCCAAAATGCTTTAGTCAAGGAATATACCTTAAATCGTACCAGGGATCGATAGGATTTAGGGTTTAGAGATTAGGGTCATGGGACTTGTGACTTAGTATGAAAGGTTAGAAGTACAAGTACGTATAAGTATAGTTAGCCAAAGAGGCACCCTCTTACAAACTCCCATGACCCTTTCAGTGCAGGTCCTTGCGCTGCTGACGACTGCGAAAAGTCGTGTGCCAGCAAGGACACACAAGAAGGAGCTGCTACCGAAATTCGATGAGAGATTAGGTTGTAAGCTATACGGACCCTATGCCTTAAGCCATAAACACGGGGTAATAATACGTGAAATCTATTTTTTAGGAAAAGAAACCTGACTGCGGGTCCCTTGTATCTACCCAGATCTTCCAACATCCTTGGAATAATGAAGGAATATACCTTAAATCGTATTGGGGATCCGATTATACTAACTATACCCTAAGGTCTATAACTCTAAACCCTAAGCCCCAATTCCTCAATTAACTACGGGCTTTTGTATCTAACCCTAAACCCTAAACCCTGATTCCTCGATTACCTAAGGGCTTTTGGAAGGGCGCGGCCCGGACTGAGTAGTGATTCTATGGCTTAGGGTTCCTGTACGTAATGTTAAGGTTTAGGGTTTAGGGTTTAGGGCTTTAAGGTGTAGGGTTTAGGGCTTAGGGTTTAGGGTTTAGGGTTCAGGGGCGGTAAACATATCTAAAGCCCTCGCCTAACTTGTCACGGCTGTATATTTAAACCCCCAAAAACGGTATAAGCTACCTAAAGCTCTAGACTAAATGTCACGGCTCTATATTTAAGCCCCTGACAACGATGTAACATACCCAAAGCCCTCGTCCGACTGTCACGGATCTATGTTTAAGCCTCCCCCAAAACGGTGTAACATACCTAAAGCCCTAGTCTAACTTGTCACGGCTCTATATTTAAGCCCACCAACACGGTATATCATACCTAAAGCCCCAGTCTAACCATCACGGCTCTATATTTAAGCCCCCTAAACCCCATACCCTAAACCCCAAACCCTAAACCTTAAACCCTCAACCTTTAACCCTAAACCCCAAACCCTAAACCCTAAACCCCAAACCCTAAGCCTACAAGCCCCGAGCCTCCAACGCGAGCTTGAGAAAGGATCAAAAGATCTCCTAGCATCCGAACCCGAATCTTCTAAAGCCCCTTAAGGGCTCCTACGATGGTAAACCGCAAAATGTTGGAAACAGGGTTAAGGTCAATTAGTGCTGGGATTGCTCATACATTACTCACACATATATATTTGTATATATATATATATATATATATATAGGGATTGAGGCTATTGGGTTTCCAACTTTTGGGTTTAGGGTTTAGATCTATAGTGGGGTTTCTTGAGTGGCTCCTTAGTGGGATCTCTATTGAGGTTCCTTTAAGGGCTCCTCAACGGGATCTATAGTGAGGTTCCTTTAAGGGGTTCATCAGGAGCCCTCAACCCTAAACCCTAAGCCCTATTTAGGGTGCCTTGAAGAGCTCCTTCAAGGGCCTGTTATGAGGTCCCCTTAGGCCGGGGGGTGATTTTGCGTCGCCGCCATGCGGCGCTCTTGGGGCGGGTAGACGGTTTCGGGTTCAGGGTTTAGGATTTCGGGTTTAGGGTTTCGGATTTATCCTCAACTCTTTGCCCCTAAACCCTAAACCCTCAACCCTTTGCCCCGAACCCCGAGAATCCTTGTTGTGTTGGGTCTACTTCTTTTTGTTTCCTTCAAGGTAGGATCTTTCGTAGGGTTTAGGGCTTAGGGCTTAGGGTTTAGGGTTAAGGACGGTTTAGGGTTTAAAGTTTAGGGTTTAGGGTACAATAGAAGCCCAGAAGTTGGAAACCCAACCGCCTCAATCCTTATCAATAACATAGAGGGAATCCCAGCACCTATTGTCCTTAATCCGGTTTCCAACCTTTTTTGGGGTTTACTGTAAGCACCGGCCCTAAACCCTAAACCCTATATAAACCCTAAACCTAATCCGAAACCATCAGAGCCTAGACGCCTGGGCTCCATCGATGATTAAGGCTTTACGCTTCGTAGACCCCGAGCGCCACATCCCAAACTGCGGATGTGCTGTGCAGGACATACCTGATCTGTGGAAGAACCAGGCCTTAGTGGGACTTGGGAGTTGAGGGTTTGGGGTTCAGGGGAGCTTCTCCACATTCCGGGTACGCTTATTTAGGGTTCAGGGTCCGGGTTTAGTATTGTGGTCCTTATCATTAGGATCTTGCACTTAAGGGTTCTACATCCCATGCATTCTGAATCTAAACCCTAAACCCTGAACCCATGATGAATTCTGAAGAACTCATGACTAAGAAGGGGGGACTTCGATCTAGTCCCTGAGTAACAGGATCCGTTTTGCAAGAAACCTTTAAGCAAGAAAAGACGGCCTTCATTCTTAGCAACCTCTTATAATGTAGGCGCCTTAATAACTAGAATAGGGTCTTGGGGATTCCTAATTATGATTACAATACCATATATCCTAAACCATGAGTATATTATCATATACCGTAAACCCGGTTCGAATTATTAAATCCCCTACATTAGACCTTCAACCCTAAACCCCAAAACCCTAAACCCTCAACCCTAAACCCCAGACCCTAAACACTAAACCCTAGATCTAAGGTAAGAAGTATGGGCCCCTAACATGGACCCTTAGGCCTTTCTAGGGACCCTTAAGGGTACATATAGGGTAAAAAGGAGGTGTAGAAGGGTCCCTAAACCCTAAACCCTAAACCCTAAACCCTAAACCTTAAACCCTAAACCCTAATCCCTCTGCCAGTGTTAAGGGCCCATGGGTTTAACCTTAGGCTAGAGAAGTTTCTCAAAGCGGTCAGGCTCAGAGATGCCCGGACTAGACTGAAGCCCAGAGAGGCTTCGGGGGTTCTAGGGGTTTAGGGCTTGAGGGTTTAGGGTTTAGGGGTTTAGGGTTTAGGGTTTAGGGTTTAGGGTTTAGGGTTTAGGGTTTAGGGTTTAGGGGTTGAGGGTTTAGGGTTAAAGCTTAGGGGTTTAGGGTTTTAGGTTTTAGGGTTTTAGGGTTTAGGGTTTAGGGTTTTCCCTATGATATGTATAGTAGAAGATACCCCAAAGCCCTATTCTAAATATTATAAGGCCCCTATAGAACCCTGATAGCTCCCTTATCGTACCCCTTATGGACCCCTTTAAAAGGAACCCTATTCTAGTTATTAAGGCCCCATGTTAGACCCTAAACCCTAAACCCTAAATCCTAAATCCTAAGCCCTAACCCCAATATACCTTAGGGTCGCGTTTAGGGTTTAGAGATTAGGGTTTAGGGTTTACGGTTTAGGGTCTAGGGTTTAGGGTGTATGGTTTACGGTCTCGAGAATAGCGTTTAGGGTTTAATGCCTATCCTCATTGCAGAACCTACCTTTTCGGTGTTTTGAAAACACCTCTAAGCCCCGAAACTCTATACCCTAAACCCTAAACCCTAAACCGCCGTAACACCTCAAGCCCTGCGCATGCCACGAGGGCATCTGCTCACGGAAGGCAGCCCAACACCAAAACCGAAACCCTGCACCCTCCAACCTTGTACCCTCAACGCTAAGCCCTAGACCCTAAACCCTAAATCCTAAATCCTAAACCCTAAACCCTAAACCCTAGATCGCCCCAACTCCCCTCCCCCCTCCCCGCCCATTCCCGAAGCAACCGCCAGGTGAAGGTCGTCCTTAGTTCGGCCAGCTCAACGGAAGCGCCGCGGATGCTGCCTGGCAGATTTTGGGCGTAGACCGATTGAATGTGGCAAAAGGGGTTTAAGTATGGAGGGGGGTTCAAGAAACGGTGTTTTTGCTGCGGTGGCTCTTGGTTTTATAGGATTTAGAGTTTAAGGTTGGGGGCGCTGTAGATAATTGTTTACGAGATTTTTGCACGGTTTTCAATGCCATTGCGTCATATAATATAAATCATACAATATAAACTAACAAAGCTATGGATTACCAACATGATTTATTGACGTGATCCTGAATCCAAACCCTGAGACCCCAAAAGGCGACTCCACACACCCTGGAACTCTCTGAAATCGGTCTCTGAGATCTGGATAAACCCTAAACCCTAAACCCTAGACCCTAAACCCTAAACCCTTCAAGGCTCAACCTCAAGACCGATGTCTAGGGCACCTACAGGTGGGTAGTTACCGTTAAAGGAGCCTAAGAGAAGGTCTATATTTATACCTTCTAGAAGCCTTATAGAAGCCCTATATACCCTAAGTCTAAGCTCCCCACCTGTAGTTTCCTCAAACTATGTCAGAAAAAGCCCTATAACTGCAAGCCCTTCAGGCCTTCAAAGCTAAAAAACGGAATAAAGCCCTGCGCATTTCTCAACCCTACACCCCAACACCGCACCATCGAAGCCCAAAAGGGGAGATGTTACCCTAAACCCTAAAAACCCTGAACCCAAAAAACCCTAGACCCTAAACCCTAAACCCAAAGCCCTAGACCCTAAACCCTAAACCTAAAACCCTCAGCCCTAAACCCTAGACCCTGAACCCTAAACCCTAAACCCTAAACCTTAAACCCTAAACCCTCGACCCTAGACCCTAAACCCTGAGCCCTAAAAACCCTAAGCCCTAAACCCTAGACCCTAAACCCTAAACCCTAAACCTTGAAACCCTAAACCCTTATAAACCCTAAACCCTAAACCCTAAACCCTAAACCCCTGAGCCTAAGGTACCGCTTCAGTCCGGAAGAGCTGATGCGCACAACGCAGCGGTCAGCTCCCGAGACTGGCTGGAGAGAGTGCTTAATATAGGGGTTTAGGATTTAGGGTTTAGGGTTTAGGGTTTGGGGGTTTAGGGTTTAGGGTTTAGGGTTTAGGGTTTAGGGTTTAGGATATAGGGGTTTAGGGTTTAGGATTTAGGGGTTTAGGGTTTAGGGGTTCAGGGTTAGGATTTAGGGGTTTAGGGTTTATTTAGGAGTAGGTAACCTTAAACCTCTTGGGGCTTATAAAAACTACTCTGA